CCTGACCAACTTGGTGTTAGGTTTTAGGCACATTAGTGTAGGTCGCATTTGAAGTCTATCTTGGCTATCAGTAAACTTAACCTCACAGTGTTAGTTGTTACTTGTAATAGTAATGCAGACATAGGCTTGTGTGGAGGATTAACACCGAGGTGTATAATAGGCTGGGCCTATGTTTTAGACTACACAAATTGGTAGTCCATCACTTTTAGCGAGTAACTTAGGCCTAGGTGGTATGCCTAACCTATGCCAACTTAACCTATTTCAAAACTTCAAATAGGTAGGCCTAAATTTTATAACTTTTTTATTTGGCCCATTTCAAGAATTTTTTTAAGCAATTCCCTAAGTTATTTCAGCCCCAGAAAATGTGGTCTAAAAATGTGAAAATTGGTACTGCTGACTTTCCTCGGATTTGGATTCGACTCTGAACAGGTTTAAATATTCGGATTCGATAACAGCTTTAAATTTCAGATTCGGATTCGATCCAGGTTCGATAATGGCTGTAAATTTGAGATTCGGATTCGACCCAGATTCGACTCGGGATTAATTAAAATATTCGGATTCGATCCGGATTCGATAAAATCTGTACAGCTATGATTCGGATTCGGATTCGAACCAAAATTTCTGGATTCGCACAGCCCTGAAAATTTTATTTAAAGCAAACGAAATAGGGTTTTACAAGTTGTTTTATTTTCCAAGTAAGCTGGTTGAACCACAGACTAAACAAAACAATACAATTAGCCTTTTCATCCCATTGTAAATTATGAAGCTCGTTTTTCGTGTCTAGTTTATGGTTGTTGTAGGTACACTTTGGTAATTTTAAACTTGTTGATCGATACAGTAGTATACTCTGTTAATAAAATTTGTAATAACATATTAAATACTAAACATCAATTCAATCCACAGTAGAGCGTAGATTGGGAATCATATTGTCATAGATAAAACATACTCCTCAAGGAGTATGTTTTATCTACGGTACTGTCTAAATCGTCGCCGTCTGCGTCTTCCTAGTTTCACTGTCGGTGTCTGTCTACACACACACACACACAAACGAACACAGACAAATACTTATTGCGATCAAGGTCAAGTCGATACGGCAATGGCGGCAGTAGTTGCTGGCACTGAACTAGAGCTACAACCGAAGGTAGCCCTGAATGTGAGAATTGAGAGACGTTGGCCGCCATATTTACTAGGGGAATAGTACTTTGGAACTATGGCATTGCAATTGCCAACAGCCAATGAGCTGGTTGATTCTTCTAGTGGTACCAACATAACAACGTTTTATACAGCGTCTCGATTTTCTAGCAGAGTTGTCGTGCCAGTGATACCTCCATTTGGATGTTTTCAGTCTACGACTATTTTGTTTTGTAAAAAACAAGAGCGGTTCCCTGATTCTGTTTACTTATCACTAGGGGTGTGCGAAGCAGCAAAAAGTTTTCGATTCGAAGCAACGATTCGATTCAAAAGATTTTCGATTCGATTCGATGCAACTCGATTCGAAGCAATACGGTATTTTTCTATTCATAATTGTCAATTGAGTGGATTAACAATAATTAAAATGTATCACATTTGTGTAATACAAATTTTTGTTGATGTGGTATTAGGCCTATTTCATACTTAACATATGAATTTTAGGTGAAAAAATATTTATTTTCAATCATATGTATTAGAATAACTGCTGGAAATACCAGTGAGCTGCTTTACTTGCCTATTTCATAATTTTTACTTGAATTGGCTCAACTGCAAGAAAGAAGAAAATATTTTTTTTATCAAGACATTCATTCTCATTTTAATAACTGTTTAAATAACTAAATAGGTGCCGGTAGCTAAATTACAACAAATTTGAATGGAACTTAATATAAAAAGACCATTAAGAAATAAATTTACATATCACAAGTTTAGGGCCTGTGGACCAGCTTCAGGACTGCAAGCAAGAAGAAAATAAAAATAATATGTTTCCACCATGCAATATGTATCATTCATTCCCTGCCTCCTAACCTCCTTAGTATAATAACCTCACACTTACATTATTTGTTACATCATCATAAATAAAGAATTATTATTGGCATCAGTAAGTAGGCCTACAGCTTTACCTAGGCATTATTTTTATAGGGCCTAAAATAGTAATAGGCTAGAAGCAACATGTCAAGTGGAGAACTCATTGAAGAAAAGATATTGTGTAAACTAATTTCCTATAAAACTCAAAAACAGTAAATAACATACAAACATTGTTTATGGTATAATTAATAAGGACTAAAAAATGCATATCATGTCATACAGTAGTATAGACCTACTGCAAGAGATTAAAATCCTAAAGCAACTGATTTGGATAGCTAATGAATGAAAAGAATTAAAAATCCATAAAATAAAGCCAAACAATATCACAACTAATTAGGTACCCGAAAAGTAACTCTTAAATAATATATAGAAGATTAAAATAATATTAAATCAAGAGACAAGAAAGTTAAATGCTATCTTCTAGCCTAGTGCCCTTGGCAACACAGGTCAATGTTTTTAAACTACCCTCAATGTTTTTGGAACAGCAGGGTCTTTTTCTCTTAAGGAAGGGTAGTAGTATGTCAACAAAAACAATGAATCAGTCTCACCGGCCAGGCCCGGGCAACGATGTGTGAATTCAAGGTCATAGACCCTCCCCCTCCCCTCTTACACCACCCGGTTGCTACCCAGTTGCTTCAATTGCTGACAAAATGCAAGTGATGAAACAAGGAAGTAGAGACAAAGAAATATATTTCTTTATTCAAAAACACAAAACTGTTAGAGATTATTTTCAAAGAAATTAATTCAATGTAATTTGTGAGTTGTAAATATTGTATTGGATCTTAGAAATATATTTTTTTAACCCCATCTAACCAAGATACAGATCTGTTCACTATATCAGATATTTCTTTTGTTTATAATTTATTATGTAAAATAATAAAATATATTTTTAATTAGGTATTGAATAAACAATAAATGATTATACTAGTATGTCTGGATAAATAGTCTTTCTATTCTTTTGACTTTGTTTTCTTTGCACTGTTAGTGTTGCGTCACGGCTTTTGTTTTGTTACTCTTATCAGTAGACGACTAGACCTGGCTCTGGCTAGTGGCAGTGCGGCAATTGCTCTGTTGTGTCTTTATTCTTAAAGGTCGTGAGCCAACTTAATTTTTAATTCTCATTTGAACATTTTAATTCCTCTGTAATAATAGATATAATAATATAAGAGTGTTTCTTTGGAAATAAATTATTCTTTTTTTTTTCTTTTGCCCCAACAAAAATTCGGGGACGGGGACCGGCAGACACCTAACAAAAATACCAAATGAATCAGTCTATAACATTAATCTTACTAGTTAAGTATTAAGTAAAAATTTTTCAGACTTATTTTTAAAATGATTTTGGAGTAACCTACCTTGTTTTGGCTAGGTTCACAGTAGTAAAATATTTCACACACTGCTTACATCAAGACAAAAAACAAACCTCTAATCATTTGCAATGTCAAAACAAAAAAATATAAAACAATTAAAGCTATATTTAATGCAAAGAATGTATTAAATAAGAACGCCTTCGTAAAGGAAACACAACAGCAACGCGCTCCTGTATTGCGGGTATTGCATTGACTTTCTGCAGGCGTTTTTCGTATATGGATACTGACTCCCTCGTGAATCGAATCGTTTTTTGACCACCACTGAATCGAATCGCGATTCGATGCATCGAATCGAATCGAATCGAAATTTCGATGCATTTTCGATGCATCGCACACCCCTACTTATCACACTTAGATACCATAAATAACTGAGAGCGCACGATAATTTTGGGCCGACATGAACTACGCCGGTTGTCTGATTCAGAATTTTAACAAACAGCAAAACATTGACCTTGGCAACTTCCTTAGTAATATTTCAGAACTGGTATCAAATCAAGAAAATCGGCCTATCCCTATTAAAATACAATTAATATTCGACTAAGGCGTAATTCAAGCCATGGCCTTAAGTTTTCAGACTGAGTTCAGCTTTGTTCTAGCTATGATGCGTAGATTGACACTGCTACTGCTGTAACTGTACTGCTTCATGTTACTTATTAATTATTATAGATAGTTAGAGCTGGCGGATGGCGGCGAGTGGGTGTATTCTGTCACCGATTCTAGAATATCGTTAATCGAATCCGAATCTTTTCTTAGGATTCGGTTGATTCGAGCCCGTCCATGTCGGCGTGTCGTCAGTTGTTTGTATTCTATTCTGCCGATCTTACGTATTCTTGACAGTAAACTTGTAGTTGGACTTTATTTTTTATTATGAAACAATATAAATAATAATTTAATTTGGAATAATAATTGATTATAACCTACTTTTAAATGGTAGGGTGGTCGAATTTAAATATTTGATTTGAACTTTGAACCTATTTAGAAATTTCGAATCGTGACGGATATCCCAATATTCGATTAGAAAAAGTTTGAAGTTTGAATATTAGCACATCCCTAATCAAGATATGCAATTATAATTTTAAATATCAGACACAAGCATTAAATATCAATAATCATCATGATTACCCGCAAATTGTGGACATCTTCCGCAATCACAAAGACATAATCATCGTCAACAACTTCATGGATGGCAGAATCTTAGACAATTCCAACAATCATAAAGACGTCATCATCATTATCCACATTCACGGAAAAATTATAGACATCTCCTAGATCACAGAGACATCATTATCACACACCACCACAGTGAATTCGTGAACTTCTCCCGCGATCACAGTGAATTTGTGAACATCTTTCCTCTTTTGCTGTCGCGGCGTCATTGCAGTCAAAATAATCCTGTACTAAAAAATCCCAAATGAAATTAAATGAATGTACCTAGAAATTCCTTTGTTACATTTTTTCTTACCATAAGATCGGGAATAATTTTGATCCCAGAAATTTTCGGACTTGTCAATCCCTTATAATAAAATATAAGGTGTAAATTACTAAGGTTTGGGCACAGGCAAATCAAGATAAAAGTACCTGTCTTTTTGGCAAACAAAGAGGTTTAATGAGTTTTCTGATCCCAGAAATGTATCATCATCAAGGATTTCTACAGCTGTCATCCAGTTGGGGTTATAATCTCTGGCCATCTGAAACAGCATAATAAACAGTTAGAGAAGAATCACAATCTAGTATTTAGCTAATACAGTAGAACCTTGCTAGTCCTTCACCTACGGGACCGGGAGCATGGTCGGATTATCAGAGGACCGTGTTTAATGACATACAAACGTTGTAAAACTAAATTTTGAACAGACCACGGATAACTGATAACCACGGTTAATCCAACATGACATAAAACAGTTATTTCCAACTCATAAACAACTCCTAATACTAACTGTATAAATGGACTTTAACACGTTCAGTACGGCATACCTTCAAACTTCAAACAGTTGCTCGCCAATCGCCCCGCAACTGAAATGGTGAACGCGATTGGCATTCAAATATTTTACAAGGAATTTTAGTACCAACCTACACCAGACTAAAGCTTATATTCTAAGCTACAGGCTGGTAACGATTACAACGTTCCCCGGCAATGGCTGAGCTCACATTGGAGTAAGGTTGTTAGCATTGGAGAAGGACGACATTTCCCGCCCCGCGTCAGTGGTGCCGGTACCGCAAGGCGTGAATTCCCGCCCCCAGCACTGAACGTGTTAATGTGATAATTTGCATATTACATCATAAAAATACAATTAGTAGGCTATTGCGCAATCATCATGATTATGTTATGTCATTAACCTTGATTCAGTAATAAAAAATATGTTTAAAATCACATATTTTTCAAAGTTTTACTCAAACAAACAATTTGCCAAACATTGTACAGCAAAATAATGAACAGAACAATAGAAAATCAAGTAAGCTACTGCTAGTCATAGGCTACTGCTACGCTGTTTCAGGACAGAAGAATGTGGATAAAACATTAGATATTGCATAAAAAAAATAGTAGTCTAATTATAGCATAGCATATCAACAATCGTAAAATACACCGATAAAGATAACAATGACATAAAAACATTGCGCTTTCTTTCTCTTAGTTCTTATATTCTTTATTGAGTTTCTCTTCATCCACCCATTCAACAAGTTGCCATGGTTACTAATCACCCAATCACAGGCACAGGCTACTAAAGTTGTCATGATTACCAAATAACCAATCACAAAATTGTGTGACATAGCAAGCGCAGGCCTAAGGAGCAGACGATTGTCAGTGTAAACGGATAGCTTGACCTCGAAGCTTTGATCGCCATTCCTTTGTTATGCTTCCATTTTATTTTTGTCAAATGAACTGTGACTTTTCAAAAACAATAATGTGGGAGCCTACTTATTATCAATAATGGGCAGAAATGGTAAATATACAACGAATTTCAACACATTAGACTAAAAAACACAATTTATAAAGTTTTCTAGGTATGTTTCTTGGACAGTGAGGTTATGTTAGCGGAAGCCTATTGTGTTGGCGGCATGGTCGGACTAAGCGAGGAGTCGGACCATCGGAGGTCGGATTAACAAGGTTCTACTGTGGTGCAAAACCAAGAAAAAATAAAGAAAACAAAGCATGCAAATGTAAAGCTTAAATGACAGTGGATTGCTTGAAGTAACCAAACCGGAAGATAATGTTAATGGTTCATTTTAGATGCTTACTTCCATCCAGCATCTCATCAAAATCAAATTTAAGGATAATTTTCAGGTTTCCTAGGATAAACATTTCCAGGACAAAACAACTTGCTGCTTAAAATGAGCAAAAAGTTTATTTGAATCTGCTAGAACATTAAAAACCCTTTGGAGAATTCTGTGATAATGTCTTGTGATCAGTGATAACAGCCACATTGGTGATTACCGTACATATTTTGTTGGTGGTAAGATTTAAGATGATTTTCCACAATTGCGGCAACATCCGTGGTATCATGTCTACACCTCTATTTCCCATGATCGTGGCAATAATTGTGACAATTTGCCGCAATTACAGCAACGCTCATGATGATTTCTTGTGATGTCGGACATATGTGATCATATCTTGAACATTTGTAATGATTTCACAATCGCGATTTCCACCTATGCAATATGAGAGAAATAGGTGATTTTGGGTGGATTTTTGGATGGTAGACTCAGAACAGTTAGTGGTGTGCGATGCAACAAAAATTTTCGATACGATTCAATGCAACTCGATTCGAAGCAATACGGCATTTTTCTATTCATACTTGACAGTGGAGTGAATTAACAAAAATTAAAATTTACCACATTTGTGTAATGCAAATTTTTGTTGATGTGGTATTAGGCCTAACTAGGGGTGTGCGAATATTCGAAAGATCAAATAGTTGAACGAATACTTTAGTATTCGAGCCCGACTCGATCTTAATGAGTATATTCGAACATTCGAATAGTAAACAAACCTAGAAATAATCTCTAATTTCAACCAAATAAATCATGGCATTGTGTTGTTTTATTTGATCCCAACATTTCATGCTTAGTAATAAAAGATCACAACGGCAACTTCAGCATATTATGACATCTTCAACTCCAAAGTCTACACGCACGACCATTTTCAAGGACGATAATTTTGTTGTGTCATCATTAAAATCACTCCGCTCACCTGTCTAGCTTACAATGCTCCAATACGTTAGGCTTACTGCAACTTACCGGCATGGAAACAAGACTGTCAACCATTCTTATTTGATTAATTAACAATAGCCTATATTTAGCAGCAATTTAGTTTGTATTAGCTTATCAGATAGATATATATTTGTATAAATATGAAATATTGAAATACATTCTCTTTCATTACATACTCTTTCTTAGTTAACATTAGGATCTACTTTTTGTAATGTGAACTTAAAGTACAATAGAATGACGAAATAGGTCGTATGAAACTGTTGTCTGAGTAGCAACTAGCAAGCTACGAGGTTAGAACTGCACTTCACAGTCTTTAGCATAGATTAAACATTCTCCTCAACAAGACACTAACTACCGTGAATTAATTTCTATGAAAATAATCTGCAAAAAATATATTTCTAAGATAAAATAAAGTATTTACAAGTCACAAACGAATTGATTTCTTTGAAAATAATCTGTAACGTAACAGTTTTATGTTTTTGAATAAAGAAATATATCTTTTTGTCTCTGACTCCTTTTGTTATACTGTACAAATTTGTCAGCAATTAATTGGGGCAACCGGGTGGTGTAAGAGGGGAAGGGGAGGGGGGGAGGGTCTATGACCTTGAGTGCGACCCGGGCCTGGCTGGTGAAGTGATTCATTGTTTTTGTCTACATCCTACTACCCTTCTTTCCGAGAAAAAGACCCTGCAGTTTCAAAAACATTGACTTGTGTTGCTAAGGGCACTAGTGGATCTGCTAATTTTGCAATGTTGGCATTTAATTTTCTTTTCTCTTTATTTAATATAATCTTCTATATAGTAGTTAAGAGTTCCTTTTTGAGTAACTAATTAATTGTGATATTGTTTGAATTAAGTTTATGGATTTTTAATTATTTTAATTTATTAGCTATCAAAATCTCTTGCAATAGGTCTATCTATAGGCCTAATACTGTATGACATGATATGCAATTACAGTCCTTCCAAATTAATTATACCATAAGTCCATAAGCAATTTGTGTGTTTATTACTGTTTTTGAGTTTATAGTAAATCAGTTTACACCACATCTTTTCTTCAATGAGTTCTCCACTTGTCATGTTTCTTAGCCTATTACTATTTTAGGCCCTATAAAAAATAATTCTTAAACCTGTATGCCTACTAATGCAAAAAATAGAAAAAATTATGTATTTATGATAATGTAACGTAAGTAAGTAGAGTTCCAAAGCTGTAATTGGAAAACTCTGGAGTCCACAATAATAACATAAGTATTCACTCGGTAATATTCGATATTCTAAAATATTATGAAGTATTCGATTCGATTCGAACCCAAAAATCACTATTCGCACACCCCTAGGCCTAACATATTCATACAAGAAATATATGAATTTTAGGCGGAAAAATATTTATTTTCAATCATATATTAGAAGAACCTGTATTGCTGGAAATGTCAGTGAGCTGCTTTACATGCCTATTTCATGATTTTTACATGCAGAACCATATTGTTAAGCATCTTATCTATTTTATAATATTTATTAAAAAAAATAAATATATGTTTTGGTGTAAACAAATAAAAACATTTGTAAGATTTATTCATACTGAAACTTTCAATTGGTTTACATTAATAAAATGAGAGGATAGAATCAGACCTACAAAAATACCAAATTTAACAGACTAAAACATCAATCTTACTAGTTAAGTATCAAGCAACATATTTTCAGAGTCTTTGTTTTGGCTAATGTTTACAGTAGTAACACATGTCTCACACTGCTTACACTTAACAAAAGCTCTCATAATTTGCAATGTTAAATACAAAAATTATCAAACAATTAAAGCAATATTTACATGCAAAGAATTAATTAAATAAGAACGCCTTCAAAAAGGAAACGCAACAACAACACGCTCCTGTATTGCAGGTATTGCATTGACTTTTGACTTTCATGAATCGAATTGTTTTTAACCACCACTGAATCGAATCGTAATTTCTATGCATTTTCGATGCATCGCACACCTCTAAAAACAATTCAATTTAACGTTCATCAACTCTTAACATTTACGGATTTATCCCAGTCACAAAAATGTACGTAAAATTCTCGCTTTTCCCAGTTACCAGGTTGGCTGGACACCGACCCTGCTTACCTCCTCAAAGCAGCCCTCCATTGTCTTGTATTGCAGCAAGGTCATTGACCTCATCAGGTCACCCACCAGAATAAAGTCTCCCTTTGTCTTGAGGAACAATGCAATTATGCTGTTAAAGTGACTGCATTCCAGTCTTAGTTCTTTCTCTGCCGTCCACTCAAACAATCGCACCTGGCATAACACACCAGTTTAGTATCTAAACTAAAAAGATTTATCACAAAGCACTCCTTAAAACGTTCCATGTACTAAAATTGTTGAACCAAAGTGACCTTAACTTGATCCATCATTCAATCTTATTTACGAGAAGCAGTAATCAAAGGAGAACGGTACCATTCACAAGCACTGTTGGTATTGCTATAACCAGCTGATCTCTAGTTGTTGATTATCTTATGTTATGATTTCTTAGAATAAACACTATGTTGTTTCGAATTGATTATTTAATTAAAATAGTTTTAATTAATACATAAATGAACATGGTGTCAGTAGTACCGAATCCACTGGACTTAAGTGACCCAACGCGAGTATGAGAAAACTGGGAAGTGTTCAAGAAACAATGGAAGAACTATTTGATATTAGCTGAAGCAGGAGCATTAGGTGGTACAAGGTTAAGTACACCTTAACTGAAGATGGCCATGTTTTCAACAGTAATTGGCCGTGATGGACTAGATTTGATTGAAAGAATACTTGGCTCCAATGAATCAACCCTGGATCAGGTAATTGAAGCTTTGGATAAGTATTTTTTAGGGACAAATAATTCTTTGTATGAGAGATTTATTTTTAATGGCATTGTTCAAAATACTGATGAAACGATTAAAGACTTTATAGGTCGTCTAAAAGAGCAAATGCGATTGTGTGACATTGATTCTTTAGCAAATCTCAACAAGATAGGCCTTGAAGATACTCTAATTTGCGACCAACTTGTTGTAGGTATAACCAATACTGAATTAAAAAGAACACTTTTGCGTAGAAAAGACCTAAAAGTTGATGTGGCTATAGAAATATGTATGCATCATGAAACAACTGAAAGGTTTGTTACAAAAATGACAGTGAAATCAGAAGATGCGGCATTTCAAGCAAAGAGTAGACACTTAGATAACAAATGGAAGTGTCGTTTTTGTGGTAAAAACCATATCAACCAATCAATCAATCAAAATAACTTTATTCATATTGCACATTTTGTACAGAATGGAGTCAGTTATAAAAACACAATATTAAACTTAAGACTACTTACAAAGAATATTGTTATTATAATAAAATCAAATTTCAGGAAGTTGGAAAAAAACCTTCTAATTTATACAAGGGTCTGTTGGTGAGAAATAATTTCAAACGTTTTTTTAATGAATTAAAATTACTTATATTTTTTATATTGTCAGGTAAGCTATTGAAATATTTAACACCACTATAAGATGGAATTTTTTCATAAACCGATAAATAGGGGTCTGCGGTACAGAAAATTTAAGGTCGGTACGGTTCGGTACGGTACAATATTTTGTACCTCGGTTCTCGGTACAAAATCGGTACGGTACGCGGCTACCCGTATTTTTGCGGTTTTCTTCTCAGATCTGTATTTGAACCATTATTTTAAATTTTAATACATTGACATTACTATGAAAATGGATAGTATCCTACATTCATGGTTTTCTAACAACAATTACTGTACCACACATTATTAAAAACTTTTACTCCTACGAGGATTGTGTCAAGAAAAATCACACCACAGTTAAGATAAAGGCTTTACCTATTTTACTCTGAGATACTTTGAATAGCCATGATAAAAATTATTTCCAACCAATACAATGTCTAGTTGTTTTTTAAACTTTTAAAAACCTATAAAAGCATTCAGTACAAAATCAGTGTAGTTGACAGCTATTCACATTCAACAGATGACAATGAAAAACAGGATGTTATGATGAAGTAATGGCAAATAGCATCTTTTTTATCAGCTTGAAAACTAATTATAAGATGGATACATCTTTTGCAAAGTTTTTTTCTTACACTAAAATTTGGATTACCACAGAGTAATATTATTGTCTTTTCATTTACAAAGTTAACATCCACACATATCAATCATTAGTTCATTAACTCAGACTCAATCCAATTTTCTTAGTATATTTTACGGATCTTCCAAAGAGTCAAAAGACCCAGGCCTAGACCTAATTATTTAGGATGGCCTATATAAATTGAGTAGGTTACAATGAGGGTAGCAAAATCACTATCATAATTCTAGTTCATAAGATTTAGATTGCATAAAGTACCTTCAACAAAATACAAAAATCTAAGAAACAAAAAACATTTCAACCTTAACAGCCACATCCAAAAATATAAGACAAGATACAGAACATGCAATGACATTAATTTAAGACCGAGTAGGCTTGCATAACGGAAAAAATATGCAAACAACAACTACTACGCTTGTGGTTTCATCAATAGAAAAATAAATTATCTGTAACAAATATCTTAACTTATAAAATAAGATTGTAGATTAGTAATGACTTTAATATGAAGCCATAAACAGTTTTATGGCAGAAGGCAATGGCCAGCGGCAAATTGAAAATTCACGAAAATACTGACTGAGTTAGAGATAACATTTACAGTCATCATAAAACTATTATTTTTATGATAAAATAGAATTGGGGAAAGTTGTAAAGGAATAAAAGTGATAAAACTCAACAGTTCTTGGAAGTACTTGAATACGTGATAAAATGTTAATGGATTTGGGACTGCTAATGGGTTTTTTATTGCATCACCACCCTAGTAACAAATTATGGAGATCGTAAACAAACATCTGATAAGACGTTTATGTGCTCAGAACCAACCACCGTTGACTATGATAAGTAATTTATTACTATAATAGGCTGTACCGAACCGAATTTGTACCGCATAAAATGCTGTACCGAACCGATGACGGTAATTAAGCTTGTACCGTACCGGACTGACTTTTTCGGTGCACCGCAGACCCCTAAATTATGTCTGTTGAACGCCAATTCATTACCTTTTCTGGTTGAATATGTATGAAAAGAGTTCAATTTTGGCAATCTTTCATGGTTTGATTTAATATAAAGGGCTATTTGATAAATGTATAAGCTAAAAACAGTCATAATTCCTATTTCTTTAAACAGCTCTTTTGCGAATGTTTTTGACTTTAGTTTTAACATAATGCGAATTGCTTTTTTTTAGAAGTTCCAGAATGCTATTTAGGTTAAAATTTGATGTGCCCCCATAAAGACACAACCCAAAAGAAATATGTGATTCAATTAAGGAATGATATACTATTTTTAAGGTTTTTAAACTACTAAATTTTGACATCTGTCTTAATGCATGTATGCCTGAGTTGACTTTATTACAAACGTTTTCAACATGACTGTCCCAGTTGAATTTATCATCTATATGCAATCCAAGAAATTTTATTGTTTTAACTTCATTTAGTAAAATTGTATCCATAAAAATATTAAATTCAGGTGATTTTTTGCTCGTTGAAGAAAAATTTATATAATTAGTTTTTATTGTATTCGGTAATAAATTGATTTCATTTAAATATTGGTTACATTTGGTAAGCTCAACAAAAGAAGAGACTTCCACTTCAGCATTTGAATTTCCGGATATTTTTATATTGATGTCATCAGCAAATAAACAAACACGATTGGGAGATTCTATCAATGAGGGGAAGTCAGTTAAGTAAATTGAGAATAATAAGGGCCCCAATATTGATCCTTGAGGGACACCATACTTAACAATTTTCGTTGAGGAAGTGTAAGTAATTAATTGATTATGGCTATTTACGTGATCAATTGTGACATACTAGTGGTACTCAACTTGTTAGCCAAGACTTCAAGCTTTTTGCCCAGACTTGGATGTTTAAAATTGTTGTTTCTTCGCCGCATAATCACCAATCCAATGGTAAGGCAGAATCAGCAGTTAAAATTGCAAAGAGAATGTTAAAGAAGGTAAATGAAAGTAAAGAAGACTTTCAAACAGCTCTAAATACACCACTGGCTTACTTGGGTGCAAGTCCTGTGCAGTTGCTAATGTCAAGATCAACAAAGACTCGTTTGCCCATAACAGAAATGAAACTAAATCCAAAGATACACGTAGGAGTCACAGACAAGTTGAAGGAAAAACAAGAAAAATACAAGAAGCACTATGATAAAGGCACTCAGACATTGGACCCACTTAAAGTTGGACAAAAGGTATAATAATATATAATACAGAAGAGACCAGACATGAAAGCAGAACCATGGACGCCTGGCGTAATAGTGTCACAAGATGGGTTGAGAACTTACCTTGTATCAATTGAAGGAAGACTATTCAGATGCAATAGAAGATTTATTCGTCCATTGAAAAGTTAAAGAGGGAGATGTTGGTATTGCTATAACCAGCTGATCTCTAGTTGTTGATTATCTTATGTTATGATTTCTTAGAATAAACACTATCTTGTTTCGAATTAATTATTTAATTAAAATAGTTTTAATTAATACATAAATGAACAAGCACAAAATAATTTATATGCTTCAAAATGGTTAAAAATAGTGATGGGCGGATCCAAGAAAATGTCGGTACTGGATCCGGATCCGGATCTTGAAAAATTCGGATCCGGATCCGAAGATCCGGATCCAGATACACACTGTCATAAGGGCGGGTTAAAAAAAACGTAATTAACAGAATGCCAATTTAAATCATACTTTTATTATTTTTTATCACGAAGCATCGGGTGAGATTAAAATACTAACGGGATATTTTTGAGACGAAATTATAGGCCGTTAGCTTATCATCCAGGTACAAAACTAAAAACTAGAAGTGTGAAGATATCCGAAAAATCTGGTCGGATTCAGTTCGGAAAGATACATGCCATTGCCATATATGTTATTTATTTGTATCAAGAGACAAACACTGAAACATGGCCTTGCCATATAAGTTATTTGCATCAAGAGACAAATACTGAGTCATGGCCTTGCCATATAAGTTATTTGCATCAAAAGACAAACACTGAGTCATGGCCTTGCCATATAAGTTATTTGCATCAAAAGACAAACACTGAGACATGGCCTTGCCATATAAGTTATTTGCATCAAGAGACAAACGCTGAGACATGGCCTTGCCATATAAGTTATTTGCATCAAGAGGCAAACACTGAGACATGGCCTTGCCATACAAGTTATTTTCATCTAGATACAAACATCGAAACATGGCCTTGCCATATAAGTTATTTGCATCAAGAGGCAAACACTGAGACATGGCCTTGCCATACAAGTTATTTGCATCTAGATACAAACATCGAGACATGGCCTTGCCATATAAGTTGTTTGCATCAAGAGACAAACACTCGGGGAAAATACGGTACATGGATACCGACAGCTTTGTGTTAGTAAAAAAATCAGGAAAAAATCGGGGTTGTACAGTGATACAGACAGATTTGTGTTGGTAAAAAATCGGGGTTGTAGAGTGATACATACAGCTTTTTGTGTTGGTAAAAAATCGGTGTTGTAGAGTGATACAGACAGCTTTGTGCTAGTAAACAAATCGGGGTTGTACAGTGACACAGACAGCATTGTGTTAGTAAAAAAATCGGTGCTGTACATTGATACAGACAGCTTTTTGTAATAGTAAAAAATCGGGGTTGGACAGTGATACAGACAGCTTTGTGTTTAGTAAACAAATCGGGGTTGTACAGTGATACAGACAGCTTTGTGCTAGTAAAAACATTCGGGGCTGTAGAGTGATACAGACAGCTTTGTGTTAGTAAAAAAATCGGTGTTGTACAGTGATAAAGACAGCTTTGTGTTGGTAAAGAAATCGGGGTTGTAGAGTGATACAGACAGCTTTTTGTGTTAGTAAAAAATCGGGGTTGTACAGTGATACAGACAGCTTTGTGCTAGTAAACAAATCGGGGTTGTGCAGTGATACAGACAGCTTTGTGTTTGGTAAACAAATCGGGGTTGTACAGTGATACAGACAGCTTTGTGCTAGTAAACAAATCGGGGTTGTACAGTGATACAGACAGCTTTGTGTTTAGTAAAAAAATCGGTGTTGTACAGTGATAAAGACAGCTTTGTGTTGGTAAAGAAATCGGGGTTGTAGAGTGATACAGACAGCTTTTTGTGTTAGTAAAAAATCGGGGTTGTACAGTGATACAGACAGCTTTGTGCTAGTAAACAAATCGGGGTTGTGCAGTGATACAGACAGCTTTGTGTTTAGTAAACAAATCGGGGTTGTACAGTGATACAGACAGCTTTGTGCTAGTAAACAAATCGGGGTTGTACAGTGATACAGACAGCTTTGTGTTTAGTAAACAAATCGGTGTTGTACAGTGATAAAGACAGCTTTGTGTTGGTAAAGAAATCGGGGTTGTAGAGTGATACAGACAGCTTTTTGTGTTAGCAAAAAATCGGGGTTGTACAGTGATACAGTCAGCTTTGTGTTAGTAAAAAAATCCGTGTTGTACATTGATACAGACAGCTTTGTGTTTAGTAATCAAATCGGTGTTGTACAGTGATACAGACAGCTTTTTGTCCTAGTAAAAAATCGGGGTTGTACAGGGATACAGACAGCTTTGTATTAGTAAAAAATCGGGGTTGTACAGTGATAAAGACAGCTTTGTGTTGGTAAAGAAATCGGGGTTGTAGAGTGATACAGACAGCTTTTTGTGTTAGTAAAAAATCGGGATTGTAGAGTGATACAGACAGCTTTTTGTGTTAGTAAAAAATCGGGGTTGTACAGTGATACAGACAGCTTTGTGTTAGTAAAAAAATCGGTGTTGTACATTGATACAGACAGCTTTGTGTTTAGTAATCAAATCGGTGTTGTACAGTGATACAGACAGCTTTGTGTTAGGAAAAAATCGGGACAAAATTTGAAAAAATCGGATCCATAAAAACCGGATCCAGCCCAAGATCCGGAATTTTTTGGATCCGATCCGGTGCTGGTTCTAGCTCGGATCCGGCGGATCCGGTAGTCCGATATCCGGATCCGACCATCACTAGTTAAAAAGCTTCATCAAATTTAACTTTCTATGCAATATTACGCTATCGACCTATTAAAGTAACAATTTAAGACAAAAAAAGATTCAAATATACTCACAGTGCTATTAATACTGGCTAGAAGTTTTCCATTAAACTCAACTAGTGAATAGCAACCACCTTTGATTTCTTTCTCAGCTATTTGCGTCAGCTTGCCGTCATGGAAGTGAAAGATGACTATTCGGCCTTGTTTGGGCTCAGACTCCTCAGGGTTAACCAAGCCAGTGCCAATGATGAAGTAAGTGTTAGGGTCATCTCCTAGCTTTGTGGACAGCAGACTGAGTGCATACTCTGATGGCATCAGTTGATGGGCATGTAACACTGTCAAACAAACAAACCTGTGTGTCGGTTTTATTACCTTCACACACAATCTTATATACTAAAAAACTTTTGCAAAACTTACGACAGCTAGCCTGGCCCGAATTACATGCGGTTGGTACCAAATGAAATATATTTTCATTTTCCCGTAGATGTGCAGAATCCCTTTATAAATTTAAATAGGCTCAAAAATAAGCACGAAGTCTGTAAGGGGGGTGAGAAGTCTATACATTACATATTTTCGGTCGAGTTTTCAACCACTGGACAATTTATATTTTAGCCTACTATATTAACTATTTTACGAATTTTGTTCAAAGAAAGAATCATCTGTGGCAATTAGTATAATGTATCTGCAATAATAAAATTATATGGAAAGGGAAATAAAAAGTCCATGATGTGGGAAGTGGTAAAGGAAGTATTAAGGCGAGCCGTGCGGAGTGTGGCAACCGTTTGTGGCAGTTGGATTTATGTACAATGCTATGGGAAGGGAGGGAAACAGGTCCACGACGTTAGAAGTGGTGAAGGAAGTAGTAAAGGTGAGCATTGACGAGTGTGGGAACCGTTTGTGGCAGTTGGATTAACGTATCTGCAATACTTAAATGTCATGGGAAGGGAGGAAAACAGGTTCACGACTTAAGAATTTGTGTTAGAAGTAGTAGAGGCGATTAGTGCGGAGTGTGGGGGCCGTTTGTGGCAGTTGTATTAATGTTTCTGCAATACTAAGACTTCTGTCAGAGTAAACTAATTACTTTCCCCGATCAAAGCTTGGTTCCCAGGTTTTTAGTAGAAAACAATGCCGTAAATTTGAGCTCAAAATAACAACTGGGTATTTAATGGCAGATTCAAGAAACATTTGAGCGGTTGCCATTTTCACTCGGTTGTCCGTGTGAGTTTGGGTTTACGGCAATGTATTTTACTAAATAAAACCTTTAATTAGATACCAAACTCGACCTATGCAGATGCTATTCAAGGAAACGCATGTAGAGTAATAACATTTTACTGATTTGGTGGAAATTAAATCTTTTATATTAACAAACTTTGGCAAAACGTATGACAGCTAGCCTGATCTTACTACTGGACCGATTAACATGTGGGTTGTACCAAAAGAATAGGTTATCAGTCCTATATGTGCAGGTTTTTATTATTTTGAGAATATTTATGTTAATTAGGTCAAAAATGGAAGATAAACTTTTCTTAAGGAGATTTAACATGGGGCTAATTCTATATATTAATAAACAAGCATGTTTATTGAAAAACTTTTTTCTCAGCTCCTGTGCATCGCAGGGGAAATCTACGCACACTGTTAGAAAGATATTTGCCTATAGATATCGGAAATACAACAATTCCAGGAAACCCACGCCCCAAAACCAAACCCCAGACACTGTCAGTCTAACGGTTCAAGATGTCCTGAAACAAGCCTCCTGCACTCTCAACTCGTGTCCGCCGTACAAGTGATCTCAGTGATACAACAGTGCAGTGACTCTTTGTGTATCAACTTTTGTATATATTAGGATATGAGCTTTTTTATATAGTAGGATGTAAATACAACATTGTGACCTTTGAAAATGCCACACCTAGTGGCGAAATGCGCATAAGGAAAATACTGCACTTCAAGAACTCAAGGCAACTTACAAACGAAAAAGGTAACTAAGAAAAAGTTACCTTAGAAAGTTTTCGTATCTTAACTGGTTTTGTTTTTATTTCAAACCGGAAGTAACTTTGTGGATGACCCTTGTACATTTATATTTGTCTTAGAGCAGCTTAGGAAAACAATGACTAAGGGAGAAAGGAATACCTTCAAAAGTGTGTTGATCAATAATGAGAAGGTTTTGGACCTCGACCTCCAGCCCATACTCAGCTGATGTGTTGGTGGACCCTGGCTTGAGGATGGACAGGCTGCTGATGGTAGAGGTAGTGGTGGCCTGTGCCTGGGTGGAGGCACTCGGACGTACTGGTGTAGGTCCAGCACTCTCTTGTAGATCCAATCTCATTGTGACCACGCCAAATGTCTTTATAAAACAAAACTCATTAGCTACTGTTGTACATGTATTATTTAAGTTGTGGTCCCATTTACAACATTGCATTGGCCTGTCTTGTCCACAAAGGTCTCAGGCCTGAGCGAGAGACATACCACTATCCAGAAAAGTAAGGGGTGGTTCAGTACAAATCGAGAGATTATACTTCAGTAGGCTACAGCACAAAAATATCAGATTTTTATATTTAAATAAAATATTTAACCCTTCAATGTGTATTGCCGTACGTGATACGCCGCCATTCCTAACCTCGCCGCCGTGTTTTGACGTATTGCGTACGCTCAGTGACGTCCCAGTAGATGCTGGCAACTAGTGAGTAAATACTCAACTACGTGGACTTGTGCAATACTGCAGTACATTGTAGATTAAATGAGCTACACAAACCACTAAAATAAATCCTTTTTACGTTTTTTCTTTTGTCTCTGGATGACGAAATTCATCAGCTATTTTCAGCAGATGATTGTCCAGACTTCTGCCTTGTTTGTTTTGCTTACATACGTGTGTTGTTCGTACGTTTTATGTGTGTAATATATTATTTACTGGTAAAACATTTTCTAAAATCGTATTTGAGTATTAGTATAAGTTTTTTTATTAGTTTCAACCGCTGAATGTATGTATGTATGAAGTGTTGTCGTAAAATAGGGATGTAAAAGTACTAAAGTGTTGTGTTTTGGAGCTGAGTTTTAGTGTTTGTTTTACAATGGCAAGAAGTAGTGAGATCGATCACTGGCTTTTGGATACGGATAATGCATCCGATGTAAGTGATAACGATTCATTTGATGTAGACTATGCCCAATTTCAAACGTTAGGCCTAGAAAATAATGATTTAGAGTGTGACGATGAGATTCCTCTCCTTATTCCTAGACATAACCTCCGCCAAGACAATGGTGAGCCTAGGCCTATTTCTCCTATGGAAATTGAAACCCACACTATTCCTGTTGAAATGCACATTCCTCAACAAAATTCTGTCGATGTGACAATCTATGAAGTTGTATTAGGTGCGCGAGATGTACCCCTTAGATATAACCGTAGGCCTACAACTGATGTGCCTTCTATGGTTTGGGAGACAATTGAGGACTACATTCCTCACAGAGAAAATTTTGTTGGGTTTGGTGGTGTTGGTCCTCAAATCGCTGTTGAAAATCCCCTAGATCTGTTCCATTTTTTTTTTTTTTTTTTTTTGATGACACGCTTTTGGACATAATAGTACAAAATACCAATCTCTATGCGGAGCAACAGCACAGAAAGCTTGGCATGATTTTCCCACAGTTTTCAAGGAACTGGAAATGGAGTCCTGTCACCAAAGACGAAATGTATTTGTATTTAGCTCTAATCATGCTGATGGGTGTGGACCAGAGGCCTACTATTAGATCTTACTATTCCAAAAAACCCTGTTTACGCTCAGACATCTTTTCAAGTACAATGCCATGTGAACGTTTTGAGGCCATTTCTAAGAACTTGCACTTCTGTGATGATACAAAGATCAGTGATTATCAGGGCCAAAAGGGTTTGTTCAAAATTTTTTCTGTAATTGAACATCTGAACGCTAGGTTTTAATCCTCGTATACACTGTCTCAAAATATATCCATCGACGAGTCTCTGACATTGTGGAAGGGCCGTTTGGGCTTCAAGCAATATTTGCCCCTAAAAGCAGCCAAATTCGGGATAAAATTGTTTGAGATATGTGAATCCTCCTCAGGCTTTACGTGGTCCTTCATTGTATATACCGGAAAAGGCATGGTCTTTGATAATCCTATCATCCCACCTAAATCAAACAAGTCCACTGCGATTGTTCTCTCCCTTATGGAGCCACTTCTTGATAAAGGATTTACTTTGTGGATGGATAATTGGTATAATTCCCCTGAGCTTTCAAAATTATTAAAAGAAAAAAAAGACAGACACATGTGGCACCCTAAAAGGAAAAATGTTCCAGATGAAATCAAAAGTCAAAAATTAGAAAAAGGAGAAATTGTAGTAAAACACAGTGGAGATGTGATGGTGATGAAGTGGCGCGACAAAAGAATCGTCACTCTCATTTCTACCTTCCACTCCCATGAAATGGAGCAAAGACTTAGCAAGAATGGGAGGCAAGAAATGAAGCCAGCTTTGGTGTATGAATATAACTAGGAGTACGCTCCGAAGTCGCGTATGAGAATGAACGAAGACAATTCCATGTAGGCTATCATATATAATCTGTCTTTAGTCTTTGGTGCCCGCAAGTTTGTGCGGCGACAGTGGCAGTGATGACCAGCGTTGCCAACACAACTTGCTCATTTTACCCGCAAGATCCTGTGGTAATCCCCGGAATTAGCCGGAATCAAGTCTTGATTACCCGCAAAATCCCCTGAATTCAAATTTTAAAGATTTCGGCAAACCTTTTGGTAAAACCCTCGTTGTAACCACGTTGTTACGGTGCATTTAGAGAATTATTAATATTCATACCATTCTTTCTTATATTCAGCAAATCGTTCATCATTCATTTCAAGTTTTTTTTAAGGCTACCTTTTTTAACTGAAGTCAAATGAAATGTAATGAAATATCTATTTATGTAGGTACCTATTTATGCAAATATTTTTATCATCTTTCTGAAAGAGAGGTACCGGAACCCCTTCCCCGGTAAAACTCTATCCCCTATATCAACAATACAAATAAAAAAAACATAAAATTTACAAGATTTTAAACCTTATGTGATGGCCCCTGGCCCTAACATAAATTGAATAAATAATGTTAATTATAAAAGCTAGAGCAAGTAATGCAAGAGTATCCTAGGTCTATCGCGAATGGCAATTTGAGTACTGTGGTTAATTCGGAATTCTTATGAATAATATTCAATAGTTTGATGCCATAAAATGGTGTTAGTAACCCTTATGGAAAAGTGGACTGGTCCCAGATCTGGATTCTATATCTGGCCAGATCTGAGATGACATATATGGACATATTCCAGATCTGGCACCCATATCTAACCAGATATGGAATTAGTTCAGATCTGGCATCACAGATCTGATCGTATCTGGCATCCAGATCTGATCGTATCTGGCATCCAGATCTGATCGTATCTGGCATCCAGATCTGATCGTATCCAGATCTGACCAGATATGGAATATGAAATTGGTAAAATTTGTGTTTTAAGAGACAAACTAACATTTATGTTATCCACACTTTATTCTTATAAAATCCAAGCCTAAAAAAGATAGTAACCATTGACAGAGAAAATGAAAAACCCTTGTTTTAATTTGTTTAGTTTGCAGGGTGTCCACAGAAATTTTGTCATTAATTTCCCTGACTTTCCATGACTATCCATGACCATTAACCATTGATTTCCATGACTCACGAACTTTACTCGAAAATTATAATATACCGTAAACACTTGAATAATACTGCCTAGACAGAAAATACTGAAATATGTATTGACAGATAACAATGGCGTACAACAGGTACAACAATGAACTAAATACAAACTCAAAACCTATAAACTAAGACAACTGTATAAATTGAATTGACGTACATTTATGAAAAATTCAGAAAAATGCTACAATAGTCGGGGTTACGGCCGACTAGATCATTGAAAGGACCCCTGAAATCCATCCATCGTTGGGGATTTCCATGACTTTCCATGACTTTTTGCCTATTTCCATGACTTTCAATGACCAGAACTTTTTTCCATGACTTTCCATGACTATCCCTGACTTTCCAGAATGTGGACACCCTGGTTTGTAGAGTGTTGTTTATTGTAGGCCTTTCACAATCAATGTTGTTTTTGTGTCATATGGTTGCCAACTATTTGTTTTAGCATAAGTAAAAAACCATTTAAAAAAGTATTAAAGTACTATAGTTAGCCTACGAAAACATTGGGTGTAGGCCTAACTTATCTATGGCTTACTGTTTTAATTATTAATTAACTGGTGAACCCCTCTTGACATTTTCTTTAAAATATTCCAATTTTTCACTTCATTGATAGATAAGCCTATGAGATCAAAAAATGATTAAATCTGTAGGAACTGTTGTAGTCAGTCGAATTTCGTTTGGTAAAAGTTCTGCCGAGCAAGACAATTTTTGGGAAATGTTCTTACAGTTACGAGACCTAGATTCTCATATTCGTAATGGCTTTCGTTACAATACGTGATTAAAAGTGGCCGTGGTGTAGTGGCTAAGTGATCGGAGTTCAGCCCCAGAGTCCCTGGTTCAAATCCCGGTCGGGCTTATTTAAAACTTGTACTAACAATGTTTTCACTTTTTAATTTTTATTGAATTTTTAATGCATAGTTCATTAGGTTTTAATGTTAAAACATCTTATATTATTTTTTATTTTATAAAAATAAGTTAATTTTCTTTATAAGTAATCTGGAACTCCTTCTTAAGGGAAGATGCAAAACAATGTTATTATTTCAGTATTTTAACCTGTAGGACTATGTTTCCAGAAGAATAGAAGCCTGTATAAAGAAACAAATAAAGTACTGTAGGCCTACCTATGGAAATTGAATTTAAGGTAAAAATAACAAGATAAATATTTCAATTTGTTTTATTTGCAAACATTTTTTATATTGTTATTTCATTGTGTTTCAACCACTATTTCAATTGTGCAAACACAGCACAGTCTGGTCTGGGAGGTAGCATAAATTAATGAGCCAGTTCATTATAACCTAAACTTTACCTTCCTAATCGAACCTAACTTCAAAACACTTAATACAGTCACAAATTCACATAAAACCCAACCTACCTTCCCCACATGCCTAACTAAGAGCTGATTATTTAGTTTAAAAACAAATTGATTTAATTACGCATTGGGTCAAGTATAAACAGCTGTTTGCTTTGCTCACACAGTCCTCAGCACACATTCGGACCCGTACAAACCACGCCATATTACCATCCGAACCGCGAAATGAACCTTAGATTAGTAATTTTAGCCTTCGTTTTACATCCACTTAGGAATCTTTCCGACAAAAACGGATTGCATTTTTGGAATCAGTGTGAAAAAT